CAGGAAAGATCGTGGCTTTAAAACACTCTGGAAGGTGTATAACACCCCCTTCCCCGCCCCCCCAACGTTGCTCGACGGCTGCGACTCGCCTGCTGCATCTGTCTCCAAAGCGCATGCATCCAGAGGGATCCGGCGTAAACGTGGGGATTCTGCCCGGCTTTGGCCCTGCGCACCTCGCAGGTGCCTCCTCCTCCCCGGGGAGGATCGGGGCCGCTCGGGTTTGCCCGCCTGTGCATCGCGGCAGGCTCTGCAGCATCGGGTTTGCATGCCTTTCTGCGGTCTCAGCCGGCTGCTTCCCCTCTACTCGGCGCTGGTGAGGCCGCACCTGGAATACTGGGTCCAGTTTTGGGCCCCTCCATACAAGAAGGACATTGAGGTTCTGGAGCATGTTCAGAGAAGGGCAGCGAAGCTGGTGAAGGGTCTGGAGCACAGGCCTTATGAGGAGTGGCTGAGGGAACTGGGGTTGTTTAGCCTGGAGAAGAGGAGGCTGAGGGGAGACCTTATCGCTCTCTACAACTACCTGAAAGGAGGCTGTAGTGAGGTGGGTGTTGGTCTCTTCTCCCAAGTACCTAGCGATAGGACGAGAGGAAATGGGCTCAAGCTGCACCAGGGGAGGTTTAGATTGGATATTAGGAAGAATTTCTTCACAGAAAGAGTAGTCAAGCATTGGAAGAGGCTGCCCAGAGAGGTGGTGGAGTCACCATCCCTGGAAGTGTTCAAAACACGGGTAGACGTGGCACTTTGGGACATGGTTTAGTCTACTCTCCCCTTAATTGGTTTAGTGTGGACTTGGTAATGTTAGGTTAATGGTTGGACTGGATGATCTTAAAGGTCTTTTCCAACCTAAACGATTCTATGATTCTACCAGCACTCAGGTAGGGGGAAAAAAAAAGTCTTAAAAACCTTCTGAATAGCCACTCCAAGTGTGCGGGGAAGGGATACAGTTGTCTTGAAGATCCCTTTGTATTTACAATTTGTTCTCTTGAAAATTCCTTTATATTTAAGACGAACCGACTGGGCTTTGTCTTAGAGGTATACCTTTAAACAAAACAGTGACAGTGGGTCGAGTAGCATGTGCGTTCTGTAAGGGAGGCTCATGAGGGCAAAATACATGTGGCTTGGCAAAGACGCAACTCAGGAATGGAAAAGAGAAACGTGTGTTTTAAGGCTGTGAGGAAGAAAAAAGGGAACTTTTTTGGGGGTAGGGAAGGAATGCCATTGAGGCTGACATCTCAGTTTCTCATTTATTAATTACGTGGGTGAAAATGAGAAAGACTCCGAGAAAATGCAGACAATGAGGTTTTGAAATGGCCTTACATTGGGCAGATTCCACAGCCCTGTACACTAATTCTAAAAGACTTGTAAAAAACAGTCTCTTAATAGGTTCTTCATCTGAAAATCTTCTCCTAGGTGATATGTATTAACTCTAGTCCAGCTGTATTTCCCATTCTGGAGTTAAAGATACTTATTATGTGTATTTCAGTTGCCTGTCTTTATTTCAGTATTAAATGTCTTCATGCAGCACATGCTTATGCATTTAGGACCACGTATGTCAGATGTGTGCAGGCAGATGACTGTGAGAACAAATTAATTGAGAATACGGGAAAAGGACCAAAGATCTTCCTCTGTCCTTCATTCTCAGTCAGCCTATTGCAGATTTTATAGCAGTGTGGTCATTAATGAGATGTAAAACACAGCTATAACAGAGTAAGTGAAAACAGGAATCTGAACCTATGCATGTTTTTTATCTCATCCTGCAGGATGAAGAAACACGTAAAGATTATGACTACATGTTGGATCATCCTGAAGAGTATTACAGGCATTATTATCACTACTACAGCAGGAGATTGGCACCTAAAGTGGATGTCAGAATAGTGATTCTAGTTACGGTGTGTGCCATCTCCGTGTTTCAGGTAAAATTTCATGTTTATGTGACAGTGCTCAGTGAGTTTCTGAATGGGAGGAGAAGTATCTGCAGCTCTTGTATTAAACAGTGTCAGTGAGGAGGCCCGTTCCCACCTGCAGTGTTAAACTTCTGTGTGGTGTCCATAACAAATCTGAAGTCAGGAGGTACTGAGCAGATTTTTGAGTTCCCTCGGTACCTTGGACAAAGGTAGAGATTAGCGTGTTTTAACGGTAGGGTGTTTCACGGAGACAAGTGCAGCTTTTCTAAAGAAGTTACTTAGTTCTTCATGGCAGGCTGAGAATAGCCTGTTCCTGAGTGCAGGCACAACTAGTGCTCCACGTCAGTGTGTGTCAGTTTGTCAAGCTGTGTAAGTAATTTTTTTAAAAAACAGACTAATTGCAAACTAAGTTCAGGACTCAATTCAGATGATATGACTACATATCAGGAGTTCACCAATGTGTGAATCTTACATTGCAGTATATTTTAAACACCACAATGAATTCAGGAGAGAAATTAATTCAGTTCAGCAAAGTTTGCTCTGAAGGTGGTAGTTCCCAGGTGAAGAAAACAGCTGGTGCTTTAGATGAGAAAACTTGCACCATTGCTGACAAAATATTTAAGTGGAAGAAGGTGCATAAGTCTTTTCTTTAGCATCTATTAGATTACTCGTCCGAAATGTCATTAAAATACCCAAAAAGTTGTAAGAGATGAGGATACAGCTTATTCTGTAGTGCAGATATCTCATTAAAAAGTGAGCTATTGGAAGTTAAAACAAAAATACATTGATCAGAATTTGAGAGCTTGGAATAATAAATTCCAGTGGCAGATGCAGCCAAATACTTAACTTCTCTTCAGAGAATGGCAGAGTTTCATTTCACCTCTTATTTCTTATTTTGGCTGTAAGTGGAGATACTCACTTTCCTGCAGTCCAGCTGCCAGATGGTTGAAAATTCAGTGTAAACGTCTGTGTAAACTGATTTGTGTCTCTCTCACTTTCTGTTGTTTCTGCTTCTTGACCTTTTTTAAGGTTGTATAATTTGTACATATCTGCCCTTTGTCTTGGTGAACAGTGTGAAATGCTGCTTTTTTTAAAAAGTTGCCCTAGTAAGAAATGTTCACCCCAGGCACTACATTTCTGGTTTCTTGTTTGGGGCTTCCCGCCCCCCATTGAAATTCAGAGGGTAGCTGGAGATCAGAGAGGGATGTTGATCCTGTCAGACTAAAGAGATTTCCACATGCTTAATCCATGTTTAGTTAACTATTTTAAATGTGTAACAATTTTATAATGAAATGTTCATGTACCAGCTACTTTATCTATAAATCCAAGGGCACTTCTGAGAATGGCCAGCACAGCCTAGTGTTAAGCGTCATGAGATTACCATCTTCTCATGAACAAAACCAACCTGAACAGTGTCTGTGTGTCCTTCCTCATCACTGTATATTGCTGTGAGATATAGATTTATACATCTGTTTTCCAGGTGCCTTACTAAGTTTGGAGGAATAATTGTAGCTTCTACAATACTGCAGAAGAAGTACTGTTACCTTCAGTTTTTACCCTTGCTGTAATGTAATTGTGGTTAAAGGTGTATGACAGCATTATTTTTTTTCCTCGCAAACCTCCAAATAGGAATGTGTCTGTTTAAAAACATGGGTTTTACTGTTCTTCAATTACAGTTCTTCAGCTGGTGGAGTAGTTACAATGAAGCTATCAACTACCTAGCTACAGTGCCAAAATACCGCATACAAGCTACTGAGATTGCCAGGCAACAAGGGTTACTCAACAAGACTAAAGAAAAAGGCAAGAACAGGCGGTCTAAAGAAGAAATTCGTGAAGAAGAGGAAGAAATCATCAAAGACATTATTAAAAATAAAATAGATATTAAAGGCGGTTATCAGAAGCCCAAGATATACGATATCCTTCTATTTCAGATCCTTCTCGCTCCTTTTTACTTGTGCAAATATGTAGTTTGGTACTGTTGGTGGATTTATTGTTTCACTATTAAAGGGCAAGAGTACGGTGTGGAAGAGAAGCTGTATATCATACGAAGGTACATGAAAATGTCTCAGTCTCAGTTTGACAGCCTAGAAGATCATCAAAAAGAGACCTTTCTTGAACGGCAACTGTGGATACGAGAAAACTATGAGGTGGGTAGCTCTGGTGGAAAAGCTAATGTAAGTTATTAAGAGTAAGAGCAGCTGTTTTGTGAAGGTGCTTGGGACGGGGCTGTGCGAACCATTGCTTCAGTATTCGCTATTGCTTTCTAAATTGAAAACTGTTAGGCAACCACTCAGTGTGTTTTCTCTGAGTTGTTCTGCTCATGGACTGGTAGACAACGGCTCCTGACCATGCCCGTGGGTATAGGAGGAGATTTGCTCAGTCAGAGGACATTTACCTGTGATTGTTAGGGAATCTGTGCGTACAAGATCTAGTGGAATCTCATGAAAGGTTTTATTATGACAATGTGGTATGACAAAGTTATTACAGTAGGTTGAAGACTGTTCTCCAAACAGTAATAATTTGTAATAATGATTACCTGGATCATCTGAAACTCCTATTTCATCAGTCTTCTAAGCCATTAATTCCTAGCTCATTTCTTTTTTTTTAAACTGTTCCTTGATAGTTCTTTGGCCTTCAGTGAGTCAGGGACTGTTCTTGCTGTGCTGTATACCTATTTAAGTGAAGATGGTACATGAAATACCATTGGGCATAACTCCTACTCTTGCCATGGATTGCCAGTTACTAAATAGTCACTATGTAATGTCTTTTTGTAAGCTTTCTGTGAGAGCAGTGAAAGAACATTAGCCACAGCACAGAATCACAGTCCAGGATGACTTGGGATGCTGGGGGGTGGCAGATTGACAAAACGCTTTTATTGTTCCACCGAAGCTCATCTGTGGACCTGGGTGGGAGGTTTCTAGAACAGAATTTGAGAATACGAACTGGGCCTGCTTAAGGGGAAGAGGAGATGTTGCTGCTGCTCTGCATACGCTGGGAAAAGAAATGGGATGGTGGCAGAACTGCCTTTGCTGCTGCCAGGGCACCAACGATAAGCTACTGCTTCTTTAGAAGTAGGCAGGGGTGGATTAATCTAGAAACTGGAAGAGGAAAACAGTAAAATTGACGCTAATGTAAGGAAAGGATTAGCTGACAGGTACACATATACATGTTGAATTATAATGGGTTTGCTAGAAAATAATCCGGAAGTCCAAAGATCGGGTAATATTACTAGCCAGAGCAGATGTTATATGGAAAGTAAAATGGGATGGATATCCTGTTGTAGAGAAAAAATGATTGGGATTGATGCTGTTTCTAACTAGTGATGTTTTGGTCACTGAATATGAAAGAGCTGTATTTGCCAGAAGTGAAGTCTGTTTAGCCCAAAGTCATCTCCTATGGTGGCCAGCAATTGATTTTTAGTGAAGAATACATGAAAGTTGCACCTATATAGCAATATTTACCCAGTATGATTTGCAGCTTTGGGACTTCCTGAAAAGGAAGTGGTGTCTTTGTATGTAACTGCTTTAATGAGATTTTCTTTAATAAACTTATCTAGTCACTCCTTGAATGCATTAAAACTTTCAGTGTCTGCTATGCCATCTGGTCATGAGTTCAGCAATATCTGTAGAAGATGGGTTTTTTTAAAGCCACATGGGCACCTGCTGGATCTTGTATTATTGGAAATGGAGAATAATCATGCTTTATTCTCTTTTCTCGTGCTACCTGTGCTCCTGTGTACCACTCCCGTATACTTACTTGAAACTTAGTCATGTCTTTTGTAGGCTGAAAAATATGCTTAGGTGTTTCCCCCAAAAGCTTCTCTGTCCTTTGATCATTGGAGACACCTGTCTGCATGTTGTTCCGTTTTCCAACATCCTTTTAGGATGGGAAAGACCAAGAATTGTACATCATGGAGCTCCACAGTATTTTTTTTCCCCTCTGTTGCTTTCCTAAAAATTCTTAAAACCTGTATGATCACTGAACATTGAGCTGGTGTATTTATAAAGCCATCTATAATATTTTAAAAATCTTGTTCATGCATAGCAGAACCTTAAATTTAATTCCGTTCTGGGAAGAAGTCAGATGACACTGTGATGACATAAACCTGTATGGTGCTGAAATTTACAGCAGCTGTATCTACATAAACCTCCTTCCAGAATAAAACTGCAGATGCTGTTGCTTTCTTTAGATACTTGACTTTGCTGATAATTGTAGATTTCATTATAATGACACTGTTTCTTGACAGAATGCAATTACTTATCATTTGGTACTGCCAGTACTTAATGCAGAGATACTAACTTAGTTGAGAAACTTAATTAGGAATAAAAAGTTCCATAGCAGTATTCTATCTAGACGATTTTTTTTTGTCTAGAATTTTGAAATGGAAAACAGCTAAAGCGAGGAGCTGAACAACTGCATTGAACAGTAGGTGTGCTGAGAAGGGACTCAAAATTTAGCTCTCTGAGCATTAGGAGTTCTTTACTGTAAATTTTATTTTGCTGAATGCATAAGCATCTAGTTCTTCAGCAAAAAAAGCTTTGGAGCCTGCAGCACCGTCTTACAAGGAGGTAGTTCTGCTCTCAGAAAAACACAAAGCATCTCAACTACAGGCAGGAGGCTCCCTGGCTGAAGGTACTCCTGCACTTTATGTTGGTCAATGTCTGCCTCTATGTTGCAATTCAGTCTGCTGGAAAAACAGTAAGCTGGCAAATGGTTAAACCTCAAATACGTACACCCCCCCCTTGAGGTTCATTTAAGCTCTTTCTTCAACCTTACTAAAAACTTTTGTCTTGTCTATCAGGTTTATAAAAGAGAACAAGAGGAGGAGTTAAAGAAGAAGATGGCCATGGATCCCCGATGGAAGAGATATCGGAGGTGGATGAAAAATGAAGGGCCCGGAAGACTGACTTTTATTGATGATTGAAAGTTGCTCAACAAAATGTGTGCTAATGTTGAAAGTGATTTGCAAAACTTTTCACTACATCATTCAGAGTTTTGTCTGCTGTGGCTCAGCAGTGATCTAAAACTCAGGAATTATTAAATCAGGCTGAAAAATAATACAGGTTTACCATTTTTATAAGTCAGACCTATTAAACAGGCTCAGCTCAATGTATATATGCCATTTACTTGGGGATCTCAGTCTGGAATTCATTATTCCAAACAATGTATTTTCTCTACATATTTCATATTCATGATCAATGGAACCATAACTTTAGGCTTTCTGAAAATGTTTCTAGATCAGTCCTTACAAGTCCTGTTTTTCCTTTCTAAACTGCAGAGTTCCTGCAAATGGACACTGGAAGTGCTTATAAAGGATTCTGAAGCAAGAGCCATTTTCTGTTTTCCTCTTTCTCCTACTTTTCAATCTAATTTCTAAGATGCCAACCTGTTTTTTGATGTAGACAATATGGGGATTATACCGGACTTCTTTTGCTATTCCTGCTCCAGTTGGAAATTAATTTTATTCTTTGTGGGAATAAATGATGCATGATTGATCATCATCGTGATGCAAACAAGCCTTAATTCTTTGTTCTACAGAATGATTCATGAATAGTATGGTTAGATCTTTTGTGTTTGGTTTTTCATCTTGTATGCTGGATTGTACCTGCTTGTTCAGAACAAGTATACCAGTGAATATTAGTCTAGTAAATGTGACATTTCTTTCACCAAAGTATTGGTAAAAGGGAAAATGACCCTTTTGTTAAAAAGGGCAATTTTGATGCCTTATGTAAATAAAAGTTTATATAATATACATACTGAATTTGTTTTAAATTCTAAATCTAAAGTATTCTTTATGCTTACGTCTTCTGATCAGACCTCACAGGACTTAGAATAAATAATGCACAACAGCATGCTGTGGTTTCCTCTGTAAGTCGGCCCAGGTCAGAGTTTCCAGAATTTGCTGGTAAAAGGGATTTTGTTACCATATTTCTATTCAGGAATTTTACTGGGGAAGGGGCAGGTGAGGAGCATAGCCAGCTCAGGCTGCTGCTGTCGTTTATCACATCTGTAAAAGCAAGTTCCTCAGAGATGTTTCTGCTAAAACAGTGCTAGGTTAGCTGGCTTCCGTGGAGATTGGTTCTGGGAGAGAAGCTCTTGAACTTGCTACTCCTGCCAATAGCAAATAATAGCTAAAAGTTTTAGAGTGCTTATTGATTCATCTTTTTGAAGCAAGGTGTTCCTGATTCTGCAAAGGTGACCTGTCCTCATTCTTCGAGGAAGAGTTTCTGTTCTCTATGCCTCTTTTGCTAGTTTAGCTTTCACTAGTTGGAAAGTCATCTCAATTTTCTGTTTTACATATTCAGAAGCATATTAGAAGTATTACACTACATGGCTAACTTCTGTATGCATTAGTAAAATTGAAGAGGAACTGCTAGATTTGTGCTCTGCTGCATGTAGTATAGGTATAAACTCAATTCGTTTGTGTTTAATGGTCAATTAAAACCTAAAATTTGTTAAGGTATCTAGAATAAGCTGTGCTTGCTTTCATGAAGTAATCTTAGGGACGCTGTAGTGGTGTGGCAGGGACACTGCAAAGGTGTTCATGAAATGAGAGACCTTCACAGCTTGGGTGTGTTGCTGCTTCATCCCCCAAAACAGTCACCCTCCTGCAAAAGTGGAAGGGGGAAGATTAAGTTGCTGTGATAGAAACAAAGGGAATAAAGGTAAGCGCAAGAAAAATGGTGTTGATTATTAGGTAAGACAGTTACATCTGGAAAAGAACCCATGTAGATGCATGTGAGAGGATCTAAGCCTCTGGCCACAGTTTCACAGGCTAACACCTCTGCTGCTCTTGCCCCTGTGCCTCGTTTTGCTCCATCCTTTCCCTCCCAAGCCAAGTATTTGGGTTATGCAAATAAGCAGTCAAAACACAGACCCGTTTTCCCTTTTTGCCTAGGTCAGTCCTAATCAAGATTAATTTCCTGAGCCGACACTATAGCAGGAAATCAGTGCAATGGAGGGGCAGTACCAGGGGACAACCGAGCTGTGTCTTTCAGTGGCAATGGTGTCTTGTCTCTGCAAAACTGTGGCCCGATACCAAGCGAGCGGAGAAGGGAAAGTCAGCACATATGGTACAACCTGCTGGGAATGAGCCATTCTGCAGGCTCAGCTCGGGACTTCCTTCTTTTCTCGACATACAAGCCCCTTGAAGATAACCAGATGCAGGCATAAATTCATGGGTTGCACATCTCCATGATGAAGGATAGAAAAAAAGACTTGTGTGTCTTTACAAAGCTGTGAGCACTGCAGTGACACCTCATTAGCTGAGGCTACTGAGCATTTCTAGCCTGACATCTCATTGTAGTTCTAAATGATGTCTGTCTTCTGGGCATAAGTTTTCAGGCCCTACTTTATCCTGAAATGAAGTTGACAAAGCAATTGCATGCATAAGGCAAATAAGCCGGAAGGAGACTGCTGAGAGTCACAATACTGTACCTAGTAAAGCCAGTGTGGAGGGGACACAGCGACTAGCAGCAGCTGCCGGGAAGTTTGAGCCCAGCAGCTGCCTGTGGGCAGAGCCAGCTTTTTGTTAAATCTTTGTAGGGGCTTTAGAAGCTCTCTTTCCTCTCTTTACTTTTCTTTTTCCCCTTCTTTTTTTCTTTTTTCCTTTCCTCCCCTTTTTTCCTTTTTTCCCCTTCACCCCCCTTTTTTCCTTTCCTCCCTTTTTTCTTTTTTCCTTTTTTTCCTTTTCCCCTTTCCCCTTTCTTCCTTCCCCCCTTTCCTCCTTTTTTCTTTTCCTTTTTCCCCTTTTTCTTCCTTCCCCCCTTTCCCCCTTTTTTCTTTTTTCCTTTTTTCTTCTCCCCTTTTTCCTCCTTCCCCCCCCCTTTTTCCTCCCCCCCTTTTAGTGTTTTTTCCTTTCTTATTTATCCCCTTCCCCCCTTCTCCCTTTTTTCTTTTTTCCTTTTTTCTGCTTTTTCCTTTTTTTTCTCCGCTTTCTCCTCCTTTCCCCCTCCCTTCCTCCCTTTCTTCCTTCCCCCTCTTTTTCCCCTTTATTTCTGCCTTTTTTC